GGTGAAGAGCCTCATGCTGGGAACGATGGAGGGGAAACGAAGAAGGGGATGACAGAGAAGGAGGTGGCTGGATGGAGTCACCGAAGCAGCCGGCGTGAGCTTCAACGGACTCCAGAGGATGGTAGAAGACAGGAAGACCTGGAGGAACGTTGTCCAGGGGGTCATGATGTGTCGGACATGAGTTTGCAACTAACAACAACAACATGGGCTTTCTAAAGCTTTGTACGATGGTAAAATGGGATAAATAAAAATAACACCTATTTTCACATCGAGGCTGGTGAAAATAAGTAGAGTGTTAAGTGATGTGGAAGACACGTCAACCAGTAAATAAATAAACTTCCTTATTTATCGGAAAAACCTAGATCAGGGATGTCAAACTCTTTTCATTGAAGGCCCCCTCAGGGTTGCGTTTGACCTTGAGGGGCGTGGTCAGTGTGGGTGTGGCCAGCTCAATGTCACTCATGTCAGGGGCGCAATGGGTTGGGCACGACTTTTCAACTAACAACAACAACAACTGACTTCTACTTCACAACACACTGAAAGAGCAAGCATCTCTTAAAACTTTCGCAACGAATTATGGTAATTGCGTCAACTTCCCAGACTTACCTCCTCTATGGATGAACAAAGACGTTTCGCTTCCAACTGGACATTCTTTAAGTATATCCACTACCTCGGCATGGCTCATGTTCTGTACATTCTGCTGGTTGATCTCCACAATGAGATCGCCTTCACATAAACCGGGGCAGCCCTGGACATCTAAGATCTGCTTCACCCTTTGTCCCGTGGGACTGTCCGCGATGGTGAAGCCGAAGCCCTGGGACCCTTTCACAATGGTTAAGGTCATGAGTTCAGCTTGAGTGGCTCCCGACGAGGCCATGGAGACGTTGTCGTCGTGGAGGGGTGGTGGGAATGCGCCGTCGAGCTGACTCTCTGCTGGAATGGAGTGCAAGGAATGGGGCGGCCGATCCGTGATATCCGGAACGGACTGGGAAGTTCTAGAAATGTATTCCAAGTACGTTTCATAGTTATGTCTCCCGTTGACGATGACCGGAGGCCTCTCCATCATGGCGAGTGGCGGCACTATGCTGTTGGCAGGATCTTCGGGGTCGAAGGGCAGAGGGTATCCGCGACATAGCACCAGGTTGACGCTCTGGCCAATGGGAACAGACTGGAAGAGTTTGACGACGTCCGCGTGAGTATGTCCGAGGACGCAGACTTCATTAATGTAGACAATGACGTCACCTGGACAAAAAGAAACCACAACGCATTATACAAGTCATTTTGTTGTGAGGCAACAACTATGTTGCAGCTACTGAGATAATTGCTTAAAATGACAGGGAATATATTACAGATATATATACACCTCGACTTACAACCACAATTGAGTCTAACAATTCAGTTCCTAAGTGAGACATTTGTTAAATGAGTTTTGCCCCATTTTACTACCTGAGAGGTCGTAACACAGCTGTTAAATGAATCACTGCAGCTGATAAATCAGTAACCCGGTTGTTAAATGAATCTGGCTTCCCCATTGACTCTTAAGTAAAGGTAAAGGTTCCCCTCGCGCACATGTGCTAGTCATTCCTGACTCTAGGGGGCGGTGCTCATCTTTGTTTCAAAGCCGAAGAGCCAGCGCTGTCCGAAAACATCTCCATGATCATGTGGCCGGCATGACTAAATGCCAAAGGCACTGTTACCTTCCCACCAAAGGTGGTTCCTATTTTTTTACTTGCATGTTTTATGTGCTTTCGAACTTCAAGGTTGGCGGAAGCTGGGACAAGTAACAGGTGTTCATTACGTGGCGCTAGGGATTCGAACCGCTGAACTGCCGACCTTCTGATCAACAAGCTCAGTGTCTTAGCCGCTGAACCACCTCGTCCCTTAATGCTTACAGTAATAACCCACAAAAACTCTACACAATTGACACATTCCCATGTGTAAAATGGGACAATGCCCAGGACCGTACCTCAAGAGTCCTGTACGGTTATGCTGCAGATACAAGTTTATTTGTTATCATTTATCAGACACCGACTCACATACTAGGATGTGTAATAGGTGTGGAGATTCTTTTTTAGACAATAAAATTGCCCGCACAATAAGGTGAAGACGCAAGATCGATCAGGCCAGGCTTGTACCCACAAATAATCTGCTCCAGGAGTGACCCAGAAAAAAGCAGTGACGGAACATGAATTATTATCTGCAGCGGCTTTAAAACAACACCGCGGTATCATCAGCAATCTCCTGACCCCTGAACTACCTTCAGAAACAGCGCCTTGGCGACTGACAGCTTCTTAATCTAAAGCAATGGCTTAGCAGCAACGGGAAACCAAATCACCAAGACGAATGCGCGCGATTCCAAGCTTGTGAGAGAAACTCCAGACCAAACGAACGCCGAGAGCGATTACGGCCTACAATACCTAATAATGTGAGTGAAAACTCAAGAGTATCTGTGGAGGTTCTCAGTCGTCCGAACCAGAGTTGTCTCAAAGGTGCTTTTTTCCAACCACTCCCACCCCTCAAAAAGCAGCTGGGTTTTCTTTGTTTATTTTCTTCGAAAAAGGTTTCACTTCTCAACCCAGAGGCTTCATCGGCTTCGGCAGAATGGAAGGATTCGTTCTGACAAGATGGGAAAGGGGGTGTTGAAAGGATCACATTTCTTTGCAGTCATCTGATTGTTAGTACTCTCCCTGAGACTCTTGAGACCACCTGGGGGTGGGGATTAAAAGCCTCCAGAGATGGAAGGCGCACGGAACGCTGTTCCCTTCCCACCAAAGATGGTTCCTATTTTTCTACTTGCATTTTTTAACGTGTTTTCGAATTGCTAGGTTGGCAGAAGCTGGAACAAGTAACGGGAGCTCACTCCGTTATGCGGTGCTAGGGATTTGAACCATTTAACTGCCGACCTTTCTGATTGACAAGCTCAGCATTTTAGCCACTGAGCCACCGTGTCCCTATAGCCACCGCATTCCTATACGTCCCTTTAACATTTCTATTTGCCGGAAATGATAGTTGCTGAATAAGAATGGAGCACAGATATACAGTGTATGGAGCTACCATTTTTATCTATATATTTTTTTTCTCTTCTCTTTAAGGAGCCCTGATTGGTATCCTCTCTCTCTCTGTGTGTGTATGTGTGTGTGTGTGTGTTTTAATGAAAGAAGCTAGCTTTTCAAAAATTAGGGGCTAAACCAGAGTGCATCCGGCAATTAGCCAGAAACAGATGTGCATTAGTTGAGGCTATTTACATTTCTATTGTGTTCTATTGAAACGAAAGCGTTT